CCGACGAGTGACATAATTGGTCCGACGAGTAGCTCCGAGTGACATTACACGTTAACCCGGCCGGTTCAGGATTAAACGCGGATATTAAAATGATTATATTATGAATTCGAATGACTGTATATAAGCTCTTTAGATATGCACTTATCGCGTAATTGTCTGGTATATACGTAGGCAAGCCGGGATCGGAAAAATTGTTTTAATTCATAGGACAACTCGTTTTTAATTTTTTTAAAACAATTTTATGAAATTCGTTTTGTGAATATTTGCATTATTTTAACCGGGTTAATTACTTTTTATTTCATAAGAAACAGAACAATTCCTTTTTTTGCCACCCTCTCGTAATAGCTGTCGTCCGTATTCGTATGAGCCACGGAGTTCCCTGTGTTTGAACGAGAAGATGAAAATAAATGTCTACGAAATTATCGATTTTGAACGAAATATATAAACTATAAAGAGAACGTTGTACGATTATTGTAAAATAGGAAATCATATGCAATTATAATAAAATGCAATAACAGATTGCTCGACACATCAATCCACTCTAAACAAATCACAGAAGTTCTAGCGTACGAGAAGAAAACACCACCAACATAATATAATATCAGTGTTCTTTTATTTATATAAATAATGCATTTTGAAAATCTTCAAAATATGTTAAGAAAAAAAAAATTTTGATTTTCCGTATTGAAAATTTGTAATCTGTATTTTATTGTCAAATATTACAATCGAGACGGACAGATGGCACACTTTGTAGCTGAAGCTGATGATGACAACAAAAATAATAAAAACCATATATTATCAGTTTTGTTCATGACGTATTGTTTAGTAATTTTATTCCAGTAGATGTATTGTGTATTATTATTTTATTACGTCTCACCGTATAGCTACGCAACCAATGATAAATGTGCTGTTCAGTCTAAGCCGAGGTCGCCAGTCTGGAATCGATCAATTTGAAACAATCGACGTGTCGCCCCGTTGTCAATAACTCATCTCGGGCAAACGGTCATATTGCCCGTCTACTGCCGACAAACATGTACGTTTTCATAATATTAATGTAGTCTCTTATACTTATGGTGCTTTCAGCGAGTGTGATTTTTGGATCAGCGGCGATCTCTCCTCTCATCACACGTCGTTGAATTTTCCCTCGCGGACAGTCGACGATGATAATAACAGTTATATAGATTAGTGTTAACAGTCGTAGTCGTAAATAGTATTAGAAGTAGCAGTAACAGTATCGGTAGAGTGGCTGTACAGTACAATATTATTATTATTATTATTATAGTAGTCGGCAATTGTAGTGTATTGCATAGCTGCAGCAGTGAAGTCGGTGGTACGAGCAGCGGGAAGGTTGATTAAATTTTCTGACGCGCTAGCTGCTGCAGTGGTTAGCGGGCCGGAAAACGGGTTGAAAAATTGAAATAGGAAATTGCCGTTGGTCTTGTTCACCCCACACTCCGTGTAACCGGTGAAGCAGGGTTTCCTCCATTGCCGACTCTCTACGCAGTGGTGTGAGTAAATATTTACACACTCACACACATACACTCACGCACGCGCACTGGCGCTTCCATTTCAAGGACCATCGATTCGGTTTATATACCGTTGGTGGATTTTTATTATTATTATTACTATTTTTATTTTTTTGTTGTTTCTTTTGTTTGATATTATTTTTATTTTCTGGAACGTTTAATTTTGACTCTTGTACACATATATATATGTATATATATAAAAAATAGGATTTTTCAAGAAAAAAGAACACAACAAATGTGGCAGACATTTGCCCGAGTGAAAATAATGGAGACGACAAGGGTGAAACGGTTTGGAATTTTTTTTTTTTTTTTGATGATATACTCCAAAAGTAGTCTGTGATTGAATTGTAGTGTCATTGATTGATAGTAACGACCGGAGTGTGCTTTCGGTATATTACCAAATGCAAGTGATGACAGGTGCGTGACCATAATTCTATTTAGTTTCCTTCAAACACATAGAAGGTACATACGATTCATGTTTTTCAAATTTATTCTGCAATTGTATTGTTTTTATTACCAGCCTTACCAGTCATAATAAAGTATTAATTTACCTTACAGACGTTTACAAAAATATACAAAATATAGTTATACCTAAACTACAACTAGTCGACAAATTATATTAATATACACGTCCTAATAATACTATTATATTATAATAAGTAGGTTGTTTGAATAATCATACGAAATTGTAAACGCTTATAAAGGCTTTGGTATTATTTAAAAATGTATATTTTGTATTCTAAAAGACCAACAATTTAAATATAGCTTGACCTAACCATATACCTTTCCTATTGTCCATAATATAAGTTGGCAATATAATTATATAAATCGTATTGTGCTAATTTTAAGCACTATTATAGCCAGTTAAAAACTAAAATGAATTCCAAGAAGTAATTTTTAGTTATTAAAAAATCTTTAAAAATATTTTAACTCAGTACATAGGTCGATAGAAAAAAAATATAGTTATTTAGGTTATTTTATTTAATATTTCATTAATATATTCCAATCACTTAAATAAAAATAAACTAACAACGAAATTAAAGAGAATTAGGTAATGTTAGAGAGGTTATTAACATAAAATATTATTATGACAATAAAATTAGGATGAATATTCATATACATCATTTGGTTATAATAAACGATGAAGTTATTTTAATCAATTTTTTTATTTAGTTTGAATGAAATTAAAATAAGAATTATGCGCAATACTCATTTATCATACTGCTGTTCATGTATTTGTGTATTCAAATATTTATGATATATATATTTATGCTAATGCTCTTTGAGTTAATTTTGCTATTAATAATTTATTCATAGTCCTTGGAAAACCGTATAGTATTGGTAGATTATATGTAACATTATTTTTTTAACATTAAAAACAAAATCTAGAATAGTAGTAATTAAAATTTTTGATTTCCTACTTTTATTTGGCAATACCTATTGATGAATCCATTGTTAGTGAATAATACTGTAACTCGTATGCATTAAGCGTATGTCATGTAAATCATCATATTGTGGCTTAATTTAACTGGTATAGATATGTGAATACTAGATAGATACTCATTACCAGAATTACCCGAAATGACAAGGTAGCTATTTTGTATAGCTAACAACCAAGGTAAAATTGTCTCTTTATCTATATAGTATATATAATATATGTTGAAGCTTGAGAAAAATAACATAATAATAGTATAGTATAATTGTTGTAATTAATATACGTTTTAAACGTAATTCGAAATAGTATAATAAATTGATTATTTGAAATATAAATCAGTTTTTTATTTCACTGATTCTAATGTCCAAACTAAATAATATGATTATTATATTATTATATAGCATTTATTATTATAAGCCCGTGAAAAATTAGATCGTACTTTATAGTATTAAGTAGGTAACAAAAGTATAATATAGATTTATATTTATATATCAATAAACAATCAAATAAATAATTATGATGAAAATAATAAATACTGGTTTTAAATCCTCACTATAATTGTCAAGTACATGCCCGTCCCGTACATATCCATCCCCGTAAATGGATTTTCAATCTTGAATATATTACGGTATAGAAGTAAATTATTTCTATTTTTTTTTTCGAATTCTTTATAAAAGCTGAAACGGATTCAAATGTTTAAAAGTGTGTGACGTGTGATGTTTTCCATTCAATAATGAAATATAGGTAATTTTTGATACAGACAAAAATAAAAAAATTTTTCAGTTTAAGAAAAAACATTGTAAGACCATTAGTCGATTCTTCAGTCGGTTTACAATCTTAAATATTTGTTGAAAAAAAACCGGCGGAGTGGATGGAAAACATTTTGATTTTAAGGAGTATCAATAAGATGTGCCAAATGAAAATGATTATAGTTGCAAAATTGTGTACAAATAAAATGGATGAAAAATTATATTTTATTTTATTATATTCAAAGAGAAAAATATAATCGATATCACATATTTTGAAAATGAAAATTATCCAAAAATAAAACTGTGATACTCACATAAAATTTAATAATATTATTCGCAATAGTATATAGTATTCGATAAAATGAGTGCCGGATCTATGGGGAAGACGGTACCTTGTCTGAGGAGGTACAAGGCTACCTCAAAGTTTATTTTATAAGATGAAAAAAGCCAATAATTTAATTTGAAGAAGAAACGAACCCGCAAGAAAAATGAAACAATATTAAACGTTCATGATTTAGTTACAGCCCTGCAGTCGTATATTAATATTGTACCTATACACGGTTTATTAAGTTTTAAACATGTTTATTAACTTTATATTATTTAACAGACAGAAAATAATATGCGAAGTATAAAAATATGACGAAAAAATGCACGAACAATCGATTACGATTTAGCTGCAACGAAGAAACAAGTGAATGAAACAAGTTTTTAAAAATATATTTCCGTTCGCTGGCTGGTTATTAATTTTTTTTTATTATTAAATACTTAGAAAGAACTTTTATGTTCTATTAATGTTCATATTTTTATTACAATACAATATCTTGTTTTACGCGTTTAATAAAGCAGTAAGTTGAGAAAAAAAAAATTGGAATTACGAAAATTTTGCCGTAAAGACAATTCTCTATAAATTGAGAAAATAATTTTTTTACAATCCACTAGCGTCAATATAATTTAATGTCCCAGATCCGGCACCGGATCGTATATTATGCTTACGTCGGTGACTATATTTAACGTTTTATACAATAACTATTATAATATTAGGTGTACGACAAATTGCACTTAACAGATAAATCAATTAAAATATTTCATAATATTCAAGTCGAATCGTATCGGTATTGCGGGACGAGTTGCCAACGACTTGAGCTGTTCTTCGGCTTAGCTGAGTTTTGTGAACGACGTACGTTTTACGTAAAATGTTGACTGTAAAATATTACGATAATAATTTTATGGTTGGTGATTGGTTGCCGGACGAGCGGCGAAGCGTGGAAACTGCAACGGGAACTGCGCGGACTAAGCGGCGGTGGTGGTGGCCGCCGGCGTGGTCTGGTCCACCGGCGAAGCGGCCGCCGCGGACGTGCCGGTCATCAGTGAGGCCACGTTGTCGGTAGAGGCCGCTGCCGGGACGGCCGGCGGCGTGGGCACGGGCGTGGCCGTGCGGTTGGTGGACATGCCCGTGCCGTAGAACTGGGTGGCCTGGTCCAAAGCGGTCTTGATGATGGCCGGAACGCACGGGTTGGTGTCCCAGAACGCGGTGCTGCAGCCCAACACGTCGAAACATGTGTACCGGATGGGCGTGTTGGACGGGGCGCAGCACGACAGGATGGCCCACACGCACCGGGACGGTTCCTTGCCCTTCTCCGTGCCTCCAGCCACGATGGTCACTTCTTCGACGTCGTCGTCCGGATTCGGTCCCTGTGGACACACGATATATAGTATAAGGTTCACACACAAGACGCTATTCAGAGGGCCGAAAATATCAATACAGGTGAAGAGTGCGGGTCGGACGAGTGGCCGGAGTGAGCTATATACAGAGTGAGTTACGTATACACATCGAGTTTTCATAGACAATTATTTTTCGGTAAAAACGTACATGTTCGAACGATGGTCCAAAGTTTTTTTTCATATTATGAAAACTTAAAGTGGGCATGCCGGGAACACGTGGAACTAAGACGATGGTTGAGATTTTGTTTTAGTGAGTATTTCGCACTGCGGGGAATATATTCTAGGGAATCCCCACCCACCCCTTATCCATACTCAGGTACTCGTGTCGAATTAAATAGTGTACACATTTATTACCTATAGAATTACGGGTACTTTTAGTTAATGTATTGATTTTTTGACATTAACGACAACATATACCTTAAGCATTAGGTATTATGAAATCGAGCTCTGTGACCTATCCACTCCTTCTAAAACTTGAGTAATATCCACTAAAAATTTCGATCAAAATACTGCTGGAGCAAGACTTGGTAATCGAGTATCGACGAACAAAAACCATATAATGTGGAAGGTAAAAACGTTTAAATATATGTGATGTATTTCAATTATTTCAAAAAAATGTGTACAGATCAAATATTTATCTTGTCAATAAAGTATACAAATCATACGCAACCGGTTACGGTGACGAAATGTCATCCTTTACTCTTCTATAATGGTGATCTGTGATAAGATTGAATCCTATATAGATATCTTGATATTTTGAAAACGTATCAGTTAAACTAGATAATTTTTTTGTTATTCAGTAAATACCTTTAATTTACACTGATTGACGTTCTGATCTTGGATATTATGAGTTATCATTGTAAAACTTGACCGAACTTTGATTTAAAATACTTAATGGTATCATATTATTTTAATTTATGGAATTTGCGAATCGATATTTCAGTTTATGCAACCTTCGATAAGCAGCTTGTATGTTTGCATAATAATAACACCAACAATAATAATAATAAAAATAATGATAATAATAATAATATTGTATTGTTCTCAATTGTATGATCTGATGTTATTATGTTAGTTTGAAAGAATAAATAATAATTATCGATGAGATTATTATTTATTACTGGTAAACGTGCTTCTATTATTATAGTTTATTGGTATTATACTATTGTCTAGTCGTCAATTCACTACCTAATCTAAATGTACACCCACACCAATACTTAAAATTTGTATTTACATATCAAACATACTTCTTGTACCTAACTCCTATATTATTATATTTAAATAATTAATATAGGTATAAACCCATACCGATATTTTAAATAATTTTTACATTGTATTAAAATCGATTAAACCGTGTTAAAATCGGCTACACAAACTTGGAAAAAACGCGTTTTAATATTTTAAAACAGTTTTTTTTTCTGTATTTAAACAAACTCTGGGCCTTGGAAACGCGTCTTTATGTGGATAGGTATATCGTATACGGATGACCACTGCTGCTTACGTCGTCGTCGATACCGTCGTCTACATCGTCACCGTCGTTGTCACCGTCAGCGGGTGCTGTCCCGTTGGCCGCGGGGGCCGTGCAATTCGATCTGGTCTTGACGACGATCACCAGCACGTCGTTGGGCCGCTTGCCACCCCTCGGCGGCAGGTACCTGGTAGGGACATAATAATAAGGAATCACCCACGACAGATGCTGCAACTCGTACCTAGGTCGCGGTAACTGGTATCCCGTGCTCGCCAGCGGGCTGAACGGTGCGGGTCTCTGCACAAGCTGACCGGGGCCGGGCTGGAACTCGGCGGGGTTGAGCAGCACGAACGGGGATTGCTGCAGTGGCTGTTCGATGCCGTTTTGGAACAGCCTGGCGAAACCGGTGCGCAGCTCGTTGCTGAACGAAGTGCTAGTCAGCCCGGCGTTGGAGTGCGCGCCCCGCATGGACAGTGCCGCACAAGCGGTGGCCACGAACCACGTAATCCACATTATGCCGCAGTTGAAGCGATGACGATGAAGGTGAAGGTGCTGCTCGTCCTCCTGTTGTACGACTCGGGATGGCTCTACAACGAAACGCCACAGAAAGTCCTTTAAAATTTTTAATATAATAAAATATTATGTGTTTAAGATCCACGAAGGTTTCGCGGCATAGATTTTCCGGTTTTCGTATACAAGTTAGTATACGCAGTGTCATGTAAGTACACTGACAAACTGAACTAGCCGTTTAGAGCAGCTGGAAAAATATGCAAACACATTTAGGTGCACACCCAGGTCGGCTATCGACTTCAAACAAACTGGCGGTCAGAGGCTGCTATGTGTTAAGCAATCAGAACTTAATTTATTCAGAAGCGTTCGCACCCCGAAAACCGCGAGTAAGTATATATTGGCACTAGCTAAATAGTGCGACAAACAAATAATAATTATTTCCTGGCGTAGAGTTTTCGACGGCGGTGGGCGGAGCCATCAATCGCCAGCTGGTTTAACGTAAACTTAAATAAAAGTCTATTACCAAACTTATTTGGTATAGACCGCTATCATATTATTACATAGTTATTTTTGTAGATTAATAATGATCGAACACGTGTAACATTCTATTACCTGTACGACAAATATAAAAGTCTATATTATTCAAAATAAAAACACTATAGTTGTACGATGTTATATGACAGCACAGTCTGAACCATCTAACCGTGCGCCGCATTACAAATCAAAATATTTTATCATGGTCCGACACCACGGTATATTGTCGATAGATCGGATGTAAAGCGATTAAAATCCTGTAAGGTTATTTAAAATTATATATTTCTAAAATGGATCGGATCACAAGTGACTTTTTAATATTTTATCATCGCGCGAACGGCGATTTTGTAAGAGTTTCGAAAAACGCTGACCTTTATTCGTGCGTAGGTACTACACACGTTCGGATGATTTGTTTTTACTTTTTAGTTTGCGGTGTAGTATCTCGGTGGAATATCAACAAGTGTTTGGGCTTGAGTCCTCCCTAATCTTGGTCGTGTCATTTTGAACACAGTCAGAAGAACAACGAGGAAAATTAATTGACAAACGTTGTATATATATATATATATTTACACGATTCAAGGCGATGGGCCGGCGGAGTCAGAGGGTTTAAGCGCGACTTACATCCAACACATTTTTTTTAGCAGATGTTGCCGTGTCAAACATAAGAAGATTTTTTCGATTTCAAAAACCGCCCAGAATTTCGTACTTTGTACACTTTAATTTGTTTGCCCGCCTGATGTAAGAAAAGAAAAGCCGCTTGGCCTATTCGCGTTATTGCCGTGACCGACAACGACATGACAAGCGTCGTCAAATTATACGTTGGGAAAAAAAATAATTGTCATCCGAAATAAATCCCTCGACATACTCGACTTAAACCCCGGACCTCCACGACGACTACCACCACGACTACCACCACCACCACCACCACCACCACCAACCACTACAACCGCACCATCACTGTCTTGTTGGCCGTTCTTAAAGGGTCGAGAAACTGTCGAAAGGTTTAACCCTTTAATCCTTGGGAATATTGTTTGTCGACTGTCGCCGGATCCGACAAGCATTGTACACACACACACACACACACACGGTAAAACGTCTTCGTTTCAGCCGAACAAAAGAGTAGCGTCGGATCCATGACAAGTGGCCACCGATACTCCAATTTCGTCGCAAGTATAACGATAATAATAACATAACAACGGCCGCGATACGTCTCGTCACTCGTGGGTCTTTTGTGCTCACAGGTTTGTACCGGGCTCGCATAATCTCCCTCAATATTATGGTTAGGCCCTTCGTTATCCTTTATGATATGCGAGTATCGCACCTGCAAAACAAACAACGACTTCCTTTCGGGCGACGTTTTTGATCGATTCTCGGTCGGTTAGTCGGACGAGCTTAACATATACGCACCCCGTTTTGACGGAAACACGACAAAGCGACGAATCCCACTATAACGATAATAACAATAGTATTATAATAGGGTCAGTCGAAAACGGGCGGCGGACTTGCGACCGGTCGCACACATCGGTGTCGTAGAACGAGTTAGTCCCATACGAACCTAACCTATATATACCTGCCTAGACATACCTATACTGGATTTCAGCGGGAAATCGATGCTAATGCGGCACGTCCGGGAATTCGGTGAACGTATTTTTTACACATCTCGTGATTTTTTTCCACCCACCGTTCACGAAAATGTCGCGAATAACGAGGCGGCGGCGGCGGCGGCGGTGACAAATTGACTATAAACGCTCCTCCCGCGTGTGTGGCCACGTAACAACTCGGATCGAACCACGTCAACTGTCGTCCGCAATTACGGTGCAGCGATGTGTCGCTCTCGCGGTATATTGAGCGGAAAATCGGATTCAAAAGCGTTGTGCCTCCATACACGCTCGGTCGTCCGTCGTCGTCGTCGTCGTCGTTAATCATCCCGAACGGTCTGCCGCGATAAACGCCATCGATTGCACCACGTCGTGAACCCGGTTTACCGGTAATGTGACGTCGAAGTCATTAGACGTGACTTCTCGATCCGTCGACGCGATATTGTTACTTTGAAATGGACTCCGAAAAACACCCGAGCCCATGGTTAGGCACCTATATATATATATATATATATATACATGGTTTAATTGCTGGCGACATTTAGGCGTGCTCTCAATCCCTCTGTTAATTTTATAGAACATTAAAAATATAATGAAGTTAAACGTGTAAATCTACTAGAGTATAATATAATATTTTTTATATAATATTGCTACCTCATGAACACTACTTTGACTTCCGGTTAGTAAGTTTTGGATAATAAACTATGTCGCTGTCCGTGTATATAACAACTGACCTCGTTAAATACCAAAAACAAAACTAGTTGGGAGGTAGAAAAATTTATATTTTATAGTTTATAATTTGACGTGAGATAATACATCAATTTTTTTTCTTTTTGGTGGAATTTCGGACGCGTTCAGTTTATAGGCTATTATAGCTTCGAATAGTTTACCCCCATCGTTCGTTCACCTTCCAATTAATCCCATTTATAGTTTGTTTTTAGAGCTTGCGTGAGTTTATTACGTTTTTTGTTTGTACAAATTATCGTAATAGTAATGCGTGTTGAAGTGTTTTCTGTATTATTCAGATATAGTATGACGAACGTCTATTCGATTCTACCGTCCAATTATCCAACAAAATGCTTGTAGAACGTTTCTTTGAATAAATCGAAAATGTCACGTTTTAATATTATATAGGTACCTTGTAGTTTAATGCTCGTTTATATTTATACGAAACGATTAATACAAATCTTTTGAACGGGTAGACTTAAAATAAGCGGCAGTTAAGTGCTATACAGACATATAAATGCTTAATGAAATAATATGGTTATTTGGTTTAAACTCAAAGGCTGAACGGTAAAAGATGAAAATTAACGTAGCACATATACGAAGGGTTTCAAAATGTACGATTCGAAGTTTCTCTGAAGTTTAATAGCCTGTTTCGTTCAAAATTCTACTTAAACAATTAGATATTTTTAAAATGAGCGATTGACGTTTAATTTTATCAATTAATATTAGTTTATCATAATGAAACCTCTGAATATATAATAATATAAGCATTCATTTTCGATTAGCGCATGACATTAGTTTATTCTTTATTATGTGGAAAATATTATTAAAATATCAAAGCTGATAATAGTCTGTATGCATAAAATGTAAACTGTTTTTTATATAGAGAATATATTATTTCCAATAGATAGCATGGTTGCCCAACGAATCTTGTGAAGTGTCTATCGAAATGAAGCTATATAATTAAACAGCTGGAGTTTTATGCACTATCGCTTATTTGTCATAGTGAGTATCACTCAACTACAATTCACATTTAAATGGTAATTGCATTTATAGTCACTACAACAAATAAGCGCTAGTGCGTAAATCTCCAGCTGTTTAATACCTATTATGGAGATTAATAATTTCGGTAGACACTTTTCAATATTCGTTGGGCAACCATACTATCTTTAATCGTGCCAAAAACTGATGTTCTCTTAATATTATTATAGTCTTTGACCCTAATGAAATATTAATAGTTAGGTACTATTAATCATATTTTGCGATAAAACCGATTAGGTGAGAAAGTTTATATAGGTATTACTTTTTGTTCATAATAATTGTATAATGATATGTATGTTTAATGTTTGTATGTCTAGTATTAGTTACATTATTTAAACGAGTGTAAAAATTAAAATTTTAAATATTCAATGATCATTTAATTTAATAATAATATAATTATTTACCATAATTTTGGGAAGACAACATTAGGCATACTTTGCAATTTTCAACGATGAAATATAAAATAACGATGAATGGTTTCGAGAGCATATTATTATTGACTATTGTTATCATGATAATATTATAGTAAAAATATATCGTTTGATATCTTATAATCGCCTAAATCGGTATCTGTATACGACTCTATTATTATATGGTTTGGGTAAAATAAACTTTCAACTGGCAACGGGCCAAACCAAGGTCGTGTGACTGGTAACGGGGACGGACGCGGTATTCGTCGTCAAACACGATACGCGACGGTGGTGGTGTAGGTGGTGTAGGGGTGGATCGGCGGCGGCGTATAGACTTAAAATCCACCGGGAAATCCCATACGACATTAAAGTCCCGGGAACGATCTAGTGCATAGTACACAACTATATACAGTGTAAAAATACACGCACACGCACCCACACACCCACACACCCACACACTTATATTGTAACTTATGTCTAATGGCTCTGGTGATTTTTGGCCCGAGAAAATGGGTGCCCGGTATAGTAATGCATCCCCGACGGTATAGGAGCGCCGCCGCCGCCAAGACGTGTACGCTCTATGCCTCTCTATGCCGTTGTATAATTTGTCTAAAAGCTTTTTCGCCAAATTGAATCATGTGGAAGACGCGAGGAAAATCACGAAATACGTACGTACATGCATCTACTTGTATTC